CTAAGCACAAACAACAACACGTTGCTATTATTTTACAGAAATAGTTTTGTGAATATAATACCTACCAAGCTAATAATAATTCATATAATATGTGTGGGTAATAAATAATATATCAGTTTATTAAACATAAAACATCTATTATTGAACAGATGTGGCAATTCTATAAAATAATTTGACCTTAGTCATATATACAAATAAATCACATAAATAAACAGAASAAAGTGTTTAACACATAATAAAAGAATGTCACAAAAGAAAACAATAAAATTGTATTCAATTATTCCAAACTTGATTAACATTGAAATATTGCATAATAATAATTGTATATCATTACTTTTTAACATTTATTATTGATGGTTACTAGAATGGGTTCTTTCATTAGTTTTTTTTAGCGTTATTAACACTTTGTTTAATACAACAATAATTTAAATTCCATAATGATTTTAAATACCTATACATAACTCATCATAAAATATATAAGATAACATTATGAGTATTGTCAAAGAAACAATATTTAATTACAATTGAAAATTAAAAACAAGATAAATATAATACAATTATATAGATCTTAGTAAGAACTAGATCAGATTTTAATCTTAAAAATATAAAAGTAATGATACTTATTTAGTTATGTTTTTATGTTTTTTAATARTTGTGGATTTAGATTAACAATAATTTCTTTCAGACCCGCGTATAAAATAAATGATTTTAATTTAATAAAAGAATACCTAACTTCCTGATTTTAAAAACAACTATAGTATCATTAACCATTATAAATTATTGTGTATAGCTAAACTTATATTAATTCTATCTGCAACATTTTTTTTTCATATTATATAAGTTTTAATTCCAAAAGTTATTTTATTTAGATACCTTACATACTTTAAGGTAAAATGAAATAAATTTAAAATTTGTATTGTTAGGTACAGTTAAGTAGACTTGGGCAGCAGAATTTTTAGAAAATAATTTTGATTACCTTAATATTTATATATTTATTGTATTTTATATGTATCATGGAAGACATAAACGTCATTCTACAATTATGTGTCAAGCCCCATGTAGGCCAAAGAAAAATTTGTCATAAACGGTAACATASACTTTTGTCCGCTACAATGTAGAAAACATATGTTTCAGACAAATGTTACTTGGCCTGCACAAGGCTTAAAATATGGAATTATGCAAACAAAACTTATATTTCAGAAGTTAAAAATACACAAAAAATTATAAGAGATATAATGATTAATTATATACTTTTAATTTAAACTTACGGCACTGAATGACCAGCATGATCCACATTGGCCTTGGTTTTTGACTGGGGTTACATATCCTTTCTTTCTCCAGTCCACTGATTTTGGAATAACAACATTTTCAGATTTCAAGAAAATCACAGCTTCATCTTTAGTGAAATTGCTATCACCAGCCAAACTGGGTTTGAATCCATTCATCATTTTAGTATATTCGTGTTGCATCTATTATGTTTTAATATYAATAATATTTATATGGCAATAAAATTAATTTTTACTATACTTACCAAATCACCAAAATCATTCATTTCCAATGCATATGTTTCTTCGCCAGATTCATATAATTTATTATGTCTTGCAATCTTTAACTTATTATCTAAATAGACTTTTTTACGGAATGTTTCTTCTTTAACATCATCATATAATTTCTTGAATTGAATCTTAAAAAAATAAATAAATAAATAAAATAAATATCTCAACTCCCTAACTGTACAAATATACAGATTATACATACTTTGAATAAACTCCATTCTTCTTCAATAACTTCATTTAACTTTATTGAGCTCACTGAGCTGATGACTAAAGCCACCAATCCAAAAACTATGAATACCTTCATGTTACTGTAAAAAAAATATATATTAATTTAAAAAAAATGTCTATCTAGAGCCCTTCAACTTTTTTTATAATAACAATAACAATAAATAACTAATTGAATAAGCGAATTTGCAATCATAATAATTATTTAACAACAAAAACAAATTTAATATTTACCTAATTATTTTAGTATAAGAAAAATAATAGAAGCAGTTTGTGAATAGTAGATAGTAACAATAAATTGTCAATAATTGAACTRAACAATTTTAAGAATTTAGAGGTTATCAAAACTATTCAAAACTTATACTGATAACCTTTGATACATCAATTAAAAATATTGTATTGTTGACTGTTGTATTGATATTAATCATGAATTAATATATTATCTTATACATATTTTGAACTAATAAAATCAAATTCATTTTAAAATTATTATTGCAAGTTTTCTTAGTAGTAATTTACACGTTTCAAAATAGCATTTGTAAAATATTGAAGAAAGTATCATAGAAATTGTCTACCTATTGCACATAATATAACATACAACAATAATAGGTCAACTAATTACAAAAACTAAGCAACATGAAGGTTACATTTTTAAGTACTAGGTGTCAAGCACAGAATATAATCTACCAAGTATTTAAGCACATAATATTAATATATTAGTTGCTAAACAACAATTCTTCAACTTAGTGAAACCTTAATAATTAAGAATTGTATCCGAAATTGTCTTAAAAACTCAATAAACTTATAATTTTAAAAGTATATCAACATCTTTGACGAAAATGACAAAACAATAGACAACAATTCCATATCCTTTTCAACAATCACTATAAAAATTATTTGATTGACTTTTTGGTAAAAAATCTCAGATGGTTAGACGATAATTCGAAAGTTTTCGATATACTTGCAAATTATAATTTTAACAACTTTATTAGAAAAAATAATCTATGGGAATACTACCTATTAGGATGATTAGAACGTCATATTTAAACGATGAACGCCATTAATGATAGCGAAATTCATTTATCTATCGAAACACCGCCTTTAACATTCGTAATCTTACTGTTAGAGTGAAAAAAAATCAAAATTGTCTTACGTGAGGTACCGTACACAATAACGTAAACTATAGTATATTAGTTAGTGTGTGCAGAACAAAGAATCAGAACCAGTGACGCTGCAACAACACGCTTGTGATGAGTTGAAGGTGATGTACTGAAGTACTGCCGAGTGTACAGCACGGAACGTAGACGATTGACGTGTRATCRAGTMGACCAACTGCGCAATATTATTTATTTTATAATTTTATAGTAACAAGCGACGGGACAAAGAGACAAGAGCGAGCGGAGGGACCGAAGGCCGTCTGTTGACGATAAGGATGGGTTGTCGATGGCGGGTAGAAGGGGGGAGGAGGCGAGTTCTAATCCGGCAGCTGGACGGATGACGGATGTCAACAGTGATCGTCGATTGTCGAAAAATGTAAAATAATATATTATAGTATCATTACTATATATAAAATTATAAATATTATACATTTATAAAATTGTATGTATTACTCGTTTATATAATTGTTACATAAGCCAAAGATTAGTAATATTGTACATAAAATGTAACAAACTAACAAAAGTAAAAGCATTGATTATAGAATAGTCTATTCTATAATCAATGGTAAAAGTAAAACACTAAACAATAACGGCTAACGATAATAAACAATAATAATAGGTAATTACCATAGCAACAGTATTTTAATATTTAATGAACACTGATATATACAAAAGCCAAAAATATTTCTTGGTCAATTCCAACGATAAGATATCCGATCGAGGCAATGGATTTAATCGCATTCTTAAAGATGGAAATTTCAATAATTATATTATATTTATTATTTAATTATCATTAATCATCAATAATTATTATCATTATTTAATTTGTATCAACGGTCAGTAGGGAATACTCCGAATACTAAATTTACAATTAACTTTTCTAGTTGACGGATTTGTGGGTGGTTATCAGTCATCATAATAAAATATAATCATAAATTATATTCTTATTGAAATCCCATCRCATGCAATAAAATACCAATACATTTTGTCGGTTTAAAAAAATTCTACTATATACTATCGTCCTCTCTTTGTCTTCCACGCATCCACACATTAATGATGAACATCCTACTAATATCATCCTTATATGATAGGCAATAGCTGTGGCGGACTATGGAAAAATTCGACGTATTTCGTTGTGCATTGCGCGTTAAGGCAAATAAAAACACACGGTAACAAGGAAAATAATGAAATCGACGACGACCATGAGACATCAGTAACGAGAACAAACGAAGTGAATTTATTAATAACAAGCAATAAACGCGACACAAACAATGTTTTTATAATATAATGTATTTATGATAATTGATAACGAATTCGGACTTTGGAATTTACGACCGACGGTGACGCACGAGTGCACGACCGGTTGTCGATACAGTTCCGAGTTTATTTTTTTTAGTAAACATTGAACTTACCTCACAATGACCTTTAACTCTAACAAACAACAACTGCTTCGACGGAACGGCGAGATGACCGTTGTAGGTCGTTGTGTCGACGAGATACAGCGAATAAACGAGACACTATGAATAGTAATGGATTTTGCGTTCGTTTTCCGTGTCTGCGAGGAAWTAGTTTAATGGATATATAAGTATAAGACAAGTGTTGCACGTAGATATGTGACGAATAACGACTGAGTAGTAAGTATTTAGTCAAGTACTAACGTTATTCAATATTAATTTATTMAAACAATGATCGAATCACGAATGTATAAATGCAATTAACTATAACGAATTAATGACTATGATCGGACTGATCGGAGTATCAAATCATTAACCAGTTAGTAATTACTACAACTCCGCGTCCCGCCGACCCACTGATCTGATATCGAGAACAGCTGATCACGATTCGCGGTCGTCGCTCRTCGACTTGTTGTTGTTGTTCTTTTGTGTTTACTGTTTACGTTCGATAGTCAGCTGTTCACCTACCGAGAGGCGATAATCAGAGATGCCATTATGCCAATGCCCGATATGCCAATTGGCAATATACCATAGGTTTAGGTTGTTCGGCAGTTCTAACCTGTTACTATGAATTTAGAAAAGTCAATACTCAATAATAATATAGGTAACTACAAAAAAATCAAAAATTWTAAATTAAATAATTCTGCATATAATTTGACCAGAGTAAAATACAGAAAAATAACATTATGTAATTACTATGTCTGAAGTGTGTCATATCAGGACATTTACCAAAATCGTAAATTTCCTTGAGGAAAATCCAGTAAACAGTAATTCCTAAAGTTGAAACAAACAGATCTAGTGAATTTCTATAATATCCACTATCAAATAGACAATGCTAGAGTAGGTTTATCAAACATGTATTCAGGATCAATTTACGGGGAGGTGGAGGTTTAAACATATTTTTAATAATCCATAGACCATAGTTGTACAATTATAATAATTATATATATAAAGAGTGTAGTTAGTCACTGTTATATTATAAATGTATAACAACTCTAAAATTTCAAAGGGGTGCCGGGGTGGTTTGAACCCCTTTTTATTATTATTATTATGAAGTGTTCTTGATAATTTGATATACATGGTAATTAAACTTATTGATAAAATAATAACAATTTTTAACATTTAGACAATTGATATGCTWAAATGAATTACAATCGGTGTGAACCTCTAAACCCCCTCCCCTGTATTTGGGCTTTTCCAGAGCTTTATACTTTCATATTCATAGTAATATTGTTATATCTATATCATCATCTAAATTCCAATGTTCAGCCAGAACTTGATGCGTAATTGCCATGGAAATGTCCAAAAATAGTTTAATATTTAATCCCAATTTTTCTTCATTCTTAATAAGAGGTAACTGTAACTAATCTCTTATACCATTACTAAGTGATAATAGATAAAAATAAAACCGACAGAAGAGACAGAGGGAAAAGAGGCCTCCCATCGGCCATCAGAGGTACTTCAATGAAAATAATTTAAGGTATTCATAAAATAATAATAATAGTACAATATACAAATAATGATAATAATTATAGGTTAATTATAACTTATATAAGTAATAAAAATCATAGCTGGAGCAAGTCATTTTATTTTTAGAAAATTATAGGTAATGACACCATTGCATGTTTAGCCTTTTGTGGGAATTTYCAAGGACAGTTGCAGATAAGGGGATTTATTGATTCTGCCAACTACTGTTTATRATATATACATAATGATTCTACCGGACACTGTTCATCCCCCCATCATCATAGGCGMAATTAGGTRTTGGCTAGGAAGGCTTAGTCACTTCAAATATTTGTCTAGCACACTCAAATAATTATCCAACTTCCACATAATAGGTACAAATATAAATTAAAGAGTAATCCATGACTTATGAATTTTTTTATTAGAGGGTCCGTGTAACTTATAAATTTCTAGCCACCCCCTCCCAAAAAAAAATAAAAATAAACTTTATTTGCGCCTAAGTCCATCATGTGTATTTTAAAATCTAAAATCGTATAAATTAAATTTTATAATATTTGGTTACATATCTTAATTGTATAAAACATTTATTTGGCAAAATATCAAAAAACAATGTATGGAAAATGTTTAAGTTCACTTATTAACTGTGTCCAAATATTATCAAAAGGTTATACACATTAATTTTGAATTATATAAATACAATAATATTAAAATATATTATATTGTYTAAATTATACTGAACAGACTATACATTTTAACATAGGTACAAGGCAGGGAATGAACAATATCTGGCGGAATCTATACAAGATTGGTGAAATCAATACGCACCCGCAGATGATATTTGGACGATAAGGGGGTTATAGTATGATGGGTTAGCTTGTTATTGAATTGCTTATATTCTCATAGCGAATCTTGGCTAATTCAGAGATGKTGAATAAATTGAGGTCAAAGTGAAGGGTATTATAGCGAAGAACTTTAGATTAAGACCTATTTGTACACGATTAGCGATTGATACTTTGGCTTAACCCCATAGCTGTGAGTCGTAGGACTAGGTGGATCTGAAAATTAGCTTATACGTTCAGCAGTAATTTAGTAGATAGAAAATAACATAGACTCACTAAATAACTCAGACCATCAGAACCAGGCCGTATATCAGTGTTTAGGAGCAAAAACGCTTTCATTAACGCTCTTTAAACGTTGTTTAAAACGACGCAATGTAAAGACGTAATATATGTCRTAACCACTTCATGAAATCGATCTTTTCATGAAAATATCACCATTTCGTGAAATGGAAACACGTTTTTTACACTTTGTGAAATTCAAAAATATTTCACGAAATGGTCACTTTTTCACGAATAGGT